GACCGACTGCCGCCCTCCCCGGCCCGAGTAAAGCAGGCAGCGGCTGCGGACACGGCTGTATTGGGAAGCGGAGGCTCCTACACAGTAGGAGAGGCACGTCCCAGCCCCGGAGGCCCGAGGACTCGGACACCACGCGCGCGGCCCGCCTGGGGCCAGTCTCTGGGGGCGCCCCGAGGGGCGAGTTAAGGCAGCTTGGCTGGAAGGGAGCGGGGAGTGGGAGTCCGCCAGCTCCCCGCGAAGTGCTGGCTCACCTCCCACTCCTCTCTCGAGGGCAGGGGGAAGGCCAGGCGGCAGTCAATAAATAGACCCGAGGGGGAAAGGGGCCTCGGGAGGCTCTGCGAGTCGGGAAGGCTGGAGGTGCGGGGCGAGGGGGCGGTGAGGCGTCGGAAGAGCGTCCCGCTCGCGGCCGAGAGGACTCCCCACCCCGCCCGCGCTCCGCTGGAGGCCGGGGGCCGCTCCCTTTAAAAGTTGAAATGGCCGCCGTTCGGGACGGCCTGGCGGGAGGAGGGCCCGACGAGGGGAGGCTTCGGGGACAGCTGGGGCTTCTCCACGTCCACCCTCTTCAGGGCGCGGCCCCGGTAGCCCTCGGGCCGGCCCAGGTACAGGAGGTGCCTCCCGGGCCCCCCGGAGTACCTGGAGGGACCCCCCGAGGGGACTCGAGTGAGCAGGGCAGGGGGAGCCCGGTGGCTGGAGAAAGGCAACCTCCGGCCCCCGCCGACGCCCAGCCGGGGTGCGGGGGCGGAGAGCGCGGGCCGGGCGGGGGCAGCGGCGCACCTGCCCTCGGGGGGCACGTCCAGCCTCAGCGGCGGGGCGCACTCCGGGGGCCGGGGACTGGGGCCGCCCAAGAGGGCGGGGGCGGGCTCGGGCGGGAGCGCCCGCGAGGTTAAAGGAAGTGGGGGCTCGGCCCCCTTCCTGGACGGTTGCGGGCCGTGCAGGTAGCGCAGCAGTTCCTCCAGGGTGGTGACTTCCACGGCCTGCCCGGGACAGCCGGGCGGTGGCGGCCTCACCAGCACGCGGGGCGCGGGCCCGCCCCCCGCGTTTCCGCCCCTAGAGCGGCCCGGGCCCTCCTTGGCGTTGTTCCTGTTCTGGTTCCACTCCCAGGGGTCCCCAGCGGCGCGGAGGTGCTTGACCGGCAGCTCCGGCGTGGACTCGGGGGTGGGCAGGCAGGCCAGCTCCGGCGGGGGCACGCCCTCGGGAGGCGGCAGGAAGGTGGTGTACAGCTGCGGCGTCTGCACCGCGTCGCCGTCCTTGGACGGCAGCGGGGGCTCTGGGCCCCCACCGTGTAGCCGGGCCAAACTGCGGAGGGAAAGAGGGCGCGGGAGCCCCGGAGTCTCGATGTCCTTGCCTCGACGTCGGTGGGCGCGGCGACAGGCACAGGAGACCAGGAGGCCAGACACTGAGGCGCCCAGAGCGAAAGCTGCGGCCACACTGGCCAGGAGGAGTGGGATGGGGACCGAGCGGGAGGCTGAGGCTGGGGGCGGGTCCCGGCGCACGCCTGCCGACCGAGAGGGAGGAGGGAGGCTCAGCCAAGGGGAGGTGGCGCGGTGGGGGGGGGACCTCGGCTCAGAGGCGCCGGCAGTTCCCAGGCCTGATACCATCCACAGCCTCCACCATTCTTAGGATTCACCTCCACTGACCCCTCAGCAACAGCCCACGTACTACCCCTCACACTCAGACCAGAGCTTGGGCCTGGGGAGTCCCATCCCAGCTCTGGCCCCTGTAGCCATGCCAAGAGCAACTGCCAAACTGCTCGTGCAGATGGAGGTGGGCTGGGATGCCCAGCTCTGGGGAGAGGAGGCTCCAAACGGGCGTTAGTGAGCACCAAACACAGGTCAGTGAGGGGCTTAGAACACTCCGAGAATCAGCAGCCCCACACTTCACTCCTGTCCCTCCCAGGTAGCCCCCTTACCCCGAGTGTAAGCTCCAAGAGTGGAAGACTGGGGCCGGGGGTGGGCATCACTGGGGGGACTGAGGGTCCCAAGGTCAGGACCAGGACCCGGAAGCACTGGTGACAGAGACCAGGTCAGAGCCAGTGAGGCTCCTGATCTTTCCCCTTGACACCCTTCCAGGGGTCCTTCCTCCCTCCTGTGGAACCTAGGAGTCCAGAATACCAGCCTCTACTTTCTTCCGGGCATGGGGCAGGGCTCATCATGCAGGACATTTATTTATTTATTCAAAAAGTGCCCTACTGTGTGCCAAGTACTGAGCTACATGCTGGGTATCTGGAGGATGCTGACCCTTTTCTGAGACTCCCAGGGTATTCAGGATGCTGGTCTGCTGCTGCCACAGGACACATGCTCAGGTATGTGGGCTGAGCAAGGGAAGGTGGAGTTGGTACAAGAGGACTCACCATAAGCAGAATCCCCAGGGCCAGACTGACTCCCAGTAGCTCCGTCTGTGAAGAAGCAAGAGGGTGAAGATTGGGGGGAGGGAGAAGCTTCATGAAGAACTGATGGGGTGACTGTGCCACAGAAGGAGAGAAGGACAAGAGCCCAAGCCTGGGATGGTGTCTGTGGCCATCATAGCCATGTGCAAGCTTTGGCTTCAACCGCAGACACCTCTTCTGTTTACCTTGGCAGTCACCATGCTCCATGGATTCCTGGTTCCCAGCCCGATCCACATCAGTCCTAGGAGGAAAATGAGGTGGCTCTAGAATTCTGTACCTTGTCCCTGTCTCCCACTCTGGCCCTCTTGCTCTTTTAGTGGTGGGGAGTTTTATGCTCAGGAAATCCAAGGACCCATCACTCACCCACCAGGTCCCCTGATATCCACACAGCCTCTGGAGCTGTGCCATCCACAGTATGGGTCCTGAGAAGCCAGACAGCTCCTAGGGAAAGCAGAGGCATGTGAAGCTGGAACCCTTTCCACTCTAGTCACTTAACATTCTCCTGCCTCTTCCCGCCCTTGCTTACAGGAGACTCCCAGCCTCATTCTCTCCTGCCCACCCCAGTCTCTCCACACCCTGGTTGCTGCCCACCTTCAGAATGCTTGAGGTACCCACACACATCCCAGCCATCCCCTATGTTTCCCTGCCAACCCCAAGACCTGTTTCTGTGCTCTTGCTGGCCTGGGGAGCTTGCCCACACAGGGCCTCAGGCCCCTCTCACCTCTGACAGGCCCCATGCCGGGCACACCGGCTGAGAGGGAGGTAGACAATACAGCCAGAAAAAGCCACAAAGAGCCTGTGACCCTCAGCGTCCAGCTCCAGCCCTATGATCCGTCGTGCCGTTAGGGCTGCCCGCTTCCCACTGCACCTAGGATGAGGCCAGAAGGAATCAGAGATGGGCAGCTGAGGCTACCTTTACCCCGAGGGAGTAGAAAAACAGCGAGGAGGTGCACAAGAAACTGAGCACAACCCATGGAGCTGCCTTGCCCGACCACACTGCCCAGTCTTCTTGCCAAGCCTCTCTAGCCCAGAGCTCCCACCCTGCAAAAGCCAATGTTGATGTTTCCAACCTATTCTCACATCCACAGCTGCTACCTCCCATCCCATCCTTGCTCTGCAGGGGGCCTGCTCTCCAAAGGTCTCACCGGGCAGGGCTGTAGGCATCAATCTCTTCCAGGAGGATCGGCTCAGGTCCCCCAGATTGCCCACCTGGGGGCAGCACCTTCAGCACTGTCCCATCGTTGGAGCCAAGGAACATGACTGTGATGTTACTGTGGGGACCAGCCATGCCATCCACAGCTACCTGGGTCAGTAGGGCCCTGGAGAAAAGGGCTTGAGGTCAGGGAACCTGTTAGGGAAGCCTGAGCATTTCAGGGAGAGCCCGGCTGTCCTGGTGGCTGTGCCTGTGCCCTCCCCCCAGGCCCCAGGGTTCTCTTCTTAGCTCTCTCCATTCTACTTTTACAAGTTCTTCCTCCCACCAATGTGGTTTACCTTGTGGGGTCAAAGAAAAAGGAGGGTGGCCGAGGACGGGGGCGGTGGTCAGTGTTTTTCAGCCCCATACCTGCTAGTGAGAGTGAGTAGAGGCTGATGGGTGGCAGGCGGCACAGCGGGGTCCAGCAGTGGGTGAGCCTTGATGAAGGTCAGGACATCATCAGGGAGGTCTCGAGAAGAGGAGAACAAGGCAGCTCCCCCTATTCCTGCACAGGATCCTGGCCTGGGGGTGCATAGGAAGGGGCTGCCTTGGGACTGGGAGCTAGAGCTTCAGTTAAGCTCTGTCCCCCGCAGTGCTCCCAAACATGACTAGAAAGCCTTGCTCCCCCTCCACACAGACACTCATACCACTGCTCCCCTTCCCTGCCACAGCTCTTTGGTCCCACTGCCACCCCACTGTAGCTCCCCACCCTGAGGCCTTGGACATCTTACCCCCTCCTCATAATCCCGTCTTGCAGAAGCAAGCAGCATCTGCCCCCACAAAAGCCATTCCATCTCGGGTACCTGGGTGAGGGGACCCTGTCCTCAGACACAGGAGTCCAGGCCCCATCCAGACTCCGCTGCTCCTTGAACTTGCCCTCAAACCCACGCTCAATCTCATCCAGGTAGAAGGCGCAGACAGCAGAACCAGGGATGCTGGAGGAGCCAGAAAAGATGCAGGATAGGTGCTGAAAGGAACTGCACAACTTTCCCCAGGAAGAAGTGGTGGCCCCCTTCACGCACCACGTTAGGAGGTGGAGACTGAGGAGGAGGGGCAGCCACTGGGTGCCACACTAGGAGAAAACATGGTAGGCAAGACAGCAAACTGGCTTTGCTTAGAGGTTTCCTTGACAGCCCCCCATCAGCAGGCTGTGAAAGGGGAGTTTGGAGGCTGGTGAGGCAGGGGACAGATCGGGTCACATTAGTTAAGACTAGTACCAACCTATTGGTCTGGGTGGTGAAGACCCCAAAGAGAGCAGAGCGGCCATGCAGGTTCACAGGCCCAGTCAAGGCCTGTAAAACGTCAAAATAGAAAGCAGAGTCCCCAGGGACAGAGCAGTTGAGCCGCAGCTTCAGGAAGGATGTCCAGTGTCGGTCCAAGGCCCGAGGCGAGCCGCCCATGTCACGTTTACACACTCGGGCTACTCGGGAGAACTGCACCTGGGGGAAGAGAGTGGAGCAGACAGCAGTGAAGGAGCCACAGGGCCAGCTGTGTGCACGGGTGTGGTGAGTTAGCACCAAGGGAGCAACGTGTGGGGCATAGTGAATGAAGGGTGTATTGTGGTTGGTCAGTGTGGGTCAAGGGTGAGGGACAAGCAAGATGTGGGGGCACAGGCCTCGGGGCTATTCCAAGCTGGGGGCTGAGAGTCCAGGGGATTGCTTTGTGGAGATCATGGTCAGGAGCTCTCCTCCCACTCAGACTGGCTCCTCAGGATCCAGCAGAACCCTCCAGCTACCCACCACACCTCCTTACCCTCCCCAGCCGGGCATCCTCCACAGAGACCTCGCGGAAGAAGAAGTAGACATGGTCTCCATGCTCCAGGGCATGGACAAAGTGTGGCTCTAAGGTGGGGAGTGACAGGGAAGGGTATAGAAGAGTATCTGTAACTGCTCAGAAGCTCCTGGTCCCACACCCCTCTCCCCATCGCGTACACACCCACTACCACACTCTCTGCCTGCTCCCTGCCACAGTCCTCCCTCTGCGCCTCCTCCCCGAGAACAGTCTCCTTTCCCCAGGCCCGCCCTGACCTCGGAGCCACTTGGAGTCGTACTTGGCGGAGCGGAGTGGGGGCTGAGGCCCAAGGCTTCTGTAAACTACAGCATCACTGGCCTGGAAGTCTGCAGCTGTGGCTGAGTACAGGCTGCCGTCTGGAGGGATGGGTGAAGTGGGGTCAGGGGAGGGCTCGGGGATCTGCATCCTGCCTCTTCTTGGGCCTCCTGCACCTCTGCCTAGGCCTGGCCCTGGCCCCTACCTCAACCCTCCACTCAGGGGAACGGGGGAAAAGACCGGTTGGGAGAGGAGCTGAGGTGGGAGCTCCCTCCAGCCGCATGCTTGCTTCTCACATGCCCAGTTGCACACCTGCAAAGATGGCCACGTTGGACTGGGTGGCGTCAAAGGGGCATCGAGCCTGCCCACTCAGCTCCTCACCCTCCTGCTGCAGCGAAGTTATCTGGGGGCAGAGGGAGCAGATCCTGGAACCTTTAGGGTCTTGGAGTATGGCTCCACAGCCTGTCCCTTCCTGTCCCATTGCCTCCTCCCCACTCCCTCTGAACCCCTTGCATTCTGGGCACTCCCATTCCCCAACCCCACTTCCTGGTCCTTTCCCATCAAACTGCCCATCTTGGGGTCCCCCCAACTCCCATCCTGACCCCCACCCTCTCTTTTGTACCCCGTAGCTGCGGCACACAGGACTGAATGAGTTCGTTCCACAGGCAAGGAGCGTCTGGGAGTCCCAGGGGAGAAGAACACGGATATAGTTGTAGCACTCGTCCTAGAGAACCCAAAATTCTAGGTCAATGACGGGGTTCTAGGTCTGAGACAAGGCGGAATAGACAGGCGGGCTTCTCCTTTTGGGTCCATCCAAGCAATGTGGGATAAAGTCCCAGCTAAGCTGTTTGCTGGCCCTCTGGCCTTAAGCAAATCCTTTGGCCTCTCTGAGCCTCACTTTTCTGTGAGGTATATAAGAGAAACTAAAAATCAGGAATTCTCTTTCCTCCCCATTTTCCCCTGTGGCTGGGATGGAAAAAGTGTGAAGGAAATTGGGCATGGTAGAGACCGGCTGGACGGAGACTGGAGGCAGAGTAATCCTCTCCTTCCCTCCGCGTTCTCATCTCCTCACCGTCAGCTTTCCCCGCACGGCACAGTTCTCCACATCTTGGCTCCTCCATGTTAGATACTGAAGGGAGAAGTTGAGGAGGGAAAATCATGGGGCAACTGGGTTCCCTCCTCACATTATGGCTTCTTTTGGATTCTTCTTCCCACCCCCTGACCCCCATTAGACCTCTCCCAGCCTCATCTCCATGGCTGGACCTCTTCCCACACAGCCCCTCACCTTGTTAGGCACCAGCCCCTCCCCTTCTTCTTGGGCTTGAAGATCAAAGGAGAAAACGTGATCCCTGAAGGGGTATAGAAGGAGGGATCAGAGCCTAGTCAAGGCACCCCAGCTGAGCTCCTTACCCCCACCTTACCCACTGTCAGGTGTTCAGGGACAAACAGCGCAGACCTTCTGCCCCCTGCCTGCCCCTTAACTCCATGCCTCGGCATTTGTGCTCTGGGTCCAAGCATGTCCACACCCCACGGCTTGTGCACCTGCATGTGTCCCCTGCAAGATGCTGCAGTGGCCATGCAGGTCCCATGTCTGCCCAGGAGCATGCATGTCTGCCCCACAACTGTGCCACGGCCAGTTTACCGGGCAGCCACTAGCAAGGTCCGGTTCAAGGTCAGGAATCTCTGAAAGTCCAGCCCAAGTTCTGCAGCCACAGAATCATCCTCCAGGCCCCGAAACCAGGATAATGGGGAAGTACCTAGAGGACACAGAGAGGTGGGGCACTGAGGGCCGGCCAGGATACCACACGCTTCCCAACACCTGCCCCAACCCGATGAAACCCAGCAGCGGCACCCTGGATATGTGAGGTTAGAGTGCCCAAAAGCTACTCCTAACGACACCAACACTGAGTGCTTAACCTCTGCCAAACAGTGTTAGCACTTTGCACCCACTGTCTCATTTAATGCATAGCCCTATAAGGTAGCTTTGGCCCCATTTCCAGATGAGGATCCTGGGGCCAGAAGCCATTTAGGAATCTGCTCATTTAGTTTGGAAGCGGCAGGTATCAGGATTCAGATCCAGGTCTGCCTGCCTCCAGAGCTGAGCCTCGTCCCTTCTCAGAACTGCCTTGGGGCTGGCAATTTCCTTTTACTCCCACCTCGAGGGCTGTCCCACCAGAGCATTTACTCACTCCATTTCTCCCAGCCCTCTCTGCGCCCTCCCCTCAAGGCTCTTCACAGACCACCTCAGCCCTCCAAGGTTTCTGTCTCCTCTGACCACCTCACCTCCAGCATCCACCTGGCTGGCTCATGGTGGAAACCACAGTCATCAGTGGTCAAAGGATAGCCAGAGTTCAGGGATAAATGATTTAACATTGCTAATGTGCTTGGAACTGCTTCTAGCACATAGGAGTGTTTGCTATTCTTATCTATCCCTTAACAATTACTCCCAGTAACCAAACTGCAGTTCCTCCATCCTTAAAATTCCTCTAAATCCAGACTGGGAGTAGTGGCTCATGCCTGTAACCCCAGCACTTCGGGAGGTGGATCATGAGGTCAGGAGTTCAAGCCCAGCCTGGCCAACACAGTGAAACCCTGTCTCTGCTAAAACTACAAAAATTAGCCAGGCTTGGTGGCGAGTGCCTGTTATCCCAGCTACTCGGGAGGCTGAGGCAGGAGAATCGCTTGAACCCAGAAGGCAGAGGTTGTAGTGAGCTGAGATCATGCCACTGCACTCCAGCCTGCAAATAGATAAAGGTTCTTCTCAGAAAAAGTGGGTTTATGCTTTCTATCATGGTGGATTTATTGCTGGTACCAGTGGTGGAGAGGGAGGTGAGAGGTGCTGGGAATCACTGAACTAGTATTAGGTCTTCTCTTTGTAGCTAAGAATAACAGCAAACATATATAAAGGATTTACTTTGTGCCATACAGTGTTCTCAGCACTTTACATGTATAACCTCATTTAATCCCTAAATAACTCTATGAGGTAGAAGACTTCTTTTTTTAAGATGGGGTTTCACCATATTGGTCAGGCTGGTCTCAAACTCCTGACCTCAGGTGATCCGCCCGCCTCAGCCTCCCAAAATGCTGGGATTATAGGCGTGAGCCACTGCACCGGAGACCTTTTTTTTTAATCTCCCTTTTTATTTTTTTTCTTTTTTTTTAATCTTCCTTTTTTTTAAGAGATGGGGTAAGGGGTTGGGGGTGGGAGGACTCTGGCTGTGCTGCCCAGGCTGGACTGCAATGGCTATTCACAGGTGCCATCACGAGCACTACAGCCTCCAACCCCTGGGCTCAAGTGATCTTCCTGCCTCAGCCTCCTGAGTACCCACCACCAGCTCACTCGCTGTTATATTCATTTTATAACTGAGGAGACGGAGGCAAAGGAAGGTTAAGTAACGGAACCAAGGTCACACAGCTGGTGAGTAGCTGAGCAGGGATTCAAACCTGCTAAGGTTTGGTCTAGCTGAGAGTCCACGTTAACCTCCGCATGATGCTGCCTCTCAGTGAAGAAACCAAGCCCAGGGATGAGAAACAGCTGGCGGGAGGTGTCAGCTCACTCTGCCTGTTTGCTTCCTTTTGCTGGTCTGGCTGTTAGCTTCCTTGAGGCTGGGTGCCTTCCTGCACCTTGCCTCCCACACAGGGGGTCTCAGTCTCTAACTGCTCACAGAGATGGGGCAAGGTAGGTACTGGGCACTCACCTTGAAGGTCAGAGATCAACAGAGGGAGGGGGTCCTGGGGAAAGGCGGCCTGGGTATGGGGAAGCGAGAGCAGCAGCAGCAGTAGCAGCAAGGGCATGAAGTGGGGGGCACGGGGCATCCTGTGCGGGGCAGCTCAGGCCCCAGGGGGTGCCCCCTCACCCATATGCTGGCCCTGAAAGGGGAGACAGGGAAAAGTTGGGGAGGAGCCAAGTTCCCTCTCCCCTGATGCAAGCCAGCAGGCTCCTCTCCTGGTCTATCCCCAGAAGACCCTGTGGGGTGGGGGAAAGAACCCTCTCCTCGGCACTGCCCCAGTCCCAGCCAGCTGTCATTGTCACTCAAGGCCCTTCCCTCTCCAACTGGCCCACACTGGCTGGTGTGAGGCCTGCAAGCATGACCCCAGGTAAGGACAGGACACACCCGCTCCTGCTGTCAGCCTTCTCACTCGGCTTTTCCTCCCCTCTCCTGACTGGGTCTGGGACATTCAGTAGGTGACACCTCCTGGCCCCCCTCTTGCTAACCCCTTCTCAGCTATAATTAGAGACTGAAGCCTTAAAATTATAAATAGTGACTCCTTGGCACTGGGAGGAGGAAGAGGGCACCATGTCTGACTCCCCCTCCCTCCCAGACCCCCACAGCACCCTGGGAGCAATGCAGGCACTGTGCCCAGGCGGGGCAGTTGTGTGGCTGCCACTGTCCTTTCTAGAGTTGAGGAAGACAGAGTTGTGGTAGGCAGCCTAGAGGTCTCTGGTCTAAGCTCATGCTTCAGGGGCCCTTCCCACTGCTAGGGAAGAAGCTGAGTAGGGAGGGGAGTTGGGGTGGGGGGACTGTCTTCACCAAAAATGAATCTGCATCAAAGCCAGATCAGAGGCTAAATTTAGCTGCAGCTGTCTGCCCGACCACTGTGCCACCCCCTCCAGGCTCTCTAGCCCCCTGCTCCCTCCCTGGCTCCTAAGAACCGGTGCATATACTTGAGGGGGGAAGAGCAGACCCACCCACTATGAGAAGCCAGGGATAGAAGGGATTGGTGAAGCAACATGGCTAAACGTGCCCCTCTTTCCCTTCCTTCCCTCATCTGGTGCCTCTGAAATTGAAATATAAATAATTCAGTGACAGGCAGGCAGTTGTAGCCCAAAGTCCAGAAAAAGATGGATATGGTAGAAGAGATGGTGAGACAGGTCTCCTTCTGCCCAACAGCCTCCATCTGCCAGATGACCCTGGCTGGGCCCACAGTAGGAGGTACATACCAGCTTCCTTCCTTCCCCTAAAATTGAAGTGAGGCTCTCAGTCGGTGCCAAAAATCAGGTCTGGGAGGTCGAGAATCCTTTCTTTTGTGAACAGGTCACTATCCACCAATCCTTAGTTGCCCATCCCACCATGTCCCCTAAAACCGACCCTGAGCTTCCAGG